GACAAAACTTCTGAAATCCTAGTATCCATTTACCCGTATTGTCACGGAAAATACCACCTATGCCACTTTTTAGCTTTTCAAAGGCCCTATCAATATTAAGTTTAATCCAACCTATTTGGGGAGGATGCCATTTAATATGGATTATTTTGGAGATATAAATTGTTGCAATGCTTGAACTCACAAAGTGGAATTCTAAAGATTGATTTATCAATCTTTAGAGGTTAGGAGGGAGGGTTGTGTTGTTGCAGTTATTGGTACTTCTGTTAATCCATATCCCCCGTATAATGAAGGGAAAGAGTTTATGCCAATTAATATAAGGAGATTCAAAATTTGTTTTACTGTCTTTAAGGTGGAGTAAACAGTGTTGAGTGTTTGGAATGGTGAGATCCCTGATTCCTAAATCATCCAAGAGGGTTTTCACAATGGGGCATCTTATGAAGATGTGGGTGATGGATTCTTCTTCATTATGACCCATAGGGCATTGGTTATCTATATTAATGCCAATGTGATGTAGATATTGGCGACAAGGAATTCTTTTGTGTAGATATTGCCAAAAGAAGAATTTAATTTTATTGGGGCAGTATAGTTTCCAAATCCACTTGAAATCATATTGATGATTAGTCGTAATTTGGAGTAACTTTGAGCATGATTTACTTGTGAAGCAACCATTAGAGTTGATATTCCATATCGGTGTATCATTATTCCCAGTATTTAAGGGAATTGGAATTTGATTGATACTTGTTATTATATCCTTTGAAATTTGGAAGGATATTTTTGTTAGATCCCAATGGTTTTCCGAAATGATATCTTTAATCTTCATGGTTATCTCCTCTTTTTTAAGGGGTCCTTCAATGTTTAAACGTAGAGGAAGGTGGTCTGGAATCCAATTGGAGTGCCAAACACTAAAGGGCGAGTTTTTACAAGGCTGCCATGTGATACCTTTAGAACAAATCGACCACCCCTTAACAATACTTTTCCAAATGAAGGAGGTATTGGTTACTGATTTGTTGTTGGCATATATGTGAATAAGCATTTTTGACCATAATGCTGAGGCATTAGTTATGGCTCTCCACGCAAGGTTGCTTAAGGAAATTAAATTCTTGTTTTTAGTAGATTGTAATCCTAGCCCCCCTTGTTCCTTTGTTGTTGTAACATTAGACCAGTTAACATAGTGGATCTTTCTTGATTCCGTGGTGGATCCCCCAATAAAGTTACGTTGAATACGGTCTATTTCCTTTAAGGTTTTTGCTGGAAGGTAGGTGTATAATGCATTGCATGGCTTGGAATTGAGTTAAGGGTAGAAATAGCAAGAGTTGTTCTCCCAGCAATATTGAGAAATTTAGCTTTCCAGGAAGATAATTTTCTATGCATGTTATCAACTATATATTGGAAATCTTTGTGAGTTGGTTGATTATGAAGAATGGGATATCCTAGGTATTTTTCAAAGGAGTTGCTTATTTTGATGTTGAAGGTATTAGCTACTTCCTTTGCTAGGTTAGAGGTACAGTTCTTAGAAAGGATTATTTTTGATTTTTGGAGATTAATATTTTGCCCTGACAGTTTGCAGAATAGAGCAAGGCTATTTTTTTATGGAATTGCATGTTTTTCCATTAATTTTTGCCATCAGGGTAAGGCCGTCTGCAAAAAATAGGTGAGAAATAACAGGATCTCCAGTGCTTAAATGAATGGGGTCCCACTGGCAGATATCTACTTGATGAGATATAAGTCTGGAAAATATTTCTATACAAAGGATAAAAATATAAGGAGATAGAGGGCAACCTTGCCTAATACCTCTGCTTGGGCTGAAGAAATCCGTCACAGAGCCATTGACTAGGATAGCTATGTCACTAGTACAGCTGCAGTTCATAAATAATTTGGAGATGAATTTTGGAAATTTGAAGAATTTGAGAGTTTGTAGATAAAAGACCACTCTAAACGGTCAAAAGCCTTTTCTAAATCCAATTTCAGAATCATATTGGGCTTTTTTCCTTTTATTTTCTTTAGTTGGTTAATGATTTCTTGAACTATGATAGCGTTATCACTAGTTCTTCGCCCCTTGATAAAACTAGCCTGATAAGGGGAAATCAACTCATCTAAAAAAGGCTTTATTCTATTGGCAATGATCTTAGTAACAATTTTATAAATAGTGTTACAAAGCCCTATAGGTCTAAAGTTCTTTAGGTTATTAGCATTTTGTATTTTAGGAATAAGACATATATAAGTATTATTAATATTTTTTGGGATGGAGCTATTTTTGAAGATTTGCGAGCATATGTTAATAACAGATGGCCCCACTATATTCCAGTATTTTTGATAGAAGAATGGGTGCATACCATCCGGTCCTGGTGCTTTGAAGGGTTTAAATGAGAAAATAGCTTTTGTGACCTCAGAAGGCATTAGGGGATTATCCAAGTTCCTTAGATCAGTTGTTTGGAAGCCTGTAAGATCTTGGCAGATGCTCAACCAGTTAGTAGACTCATGGGATGTTGTGAAACTGTTGAGGAAGAAATTTTGAAAATGCTTTAGAATTTCTAATGGATCATTGATCCGGTTACCCTGGTCGTCTTTGAAGAACGTGATTTTATATTAATCCTTCTGTTGTTAGTAGCCATTATATGAAAATTTTTTGTATTAGCGTCTCCTTCTTGAATCCACGATATTCTAGCTCGAAGTTTTCAATAGTAATCTTCAATTTTAAGGAAATTATTATAATCTAATTGTAAGGAGCGTTCCAATTCTTGGAGGAAGGTTTTCGTTAGAGATTGAAGTACATTTAAATAACAGACTATAAAAAAGTAATCATACATACACGTAATTAAATATACAAAAATTAACGATCTTCCTAGACTAGTTACATAACGTATTACATCTCAAGCAAAGAAAACGAATCTGCCTAGACTTATTCTTAAAGGAAAAAAAAATTATATGCTCACGAAAAAATATGTCCATATCTCAATTGGGTTTGATTTTTTCGTGTTCATTACCAAACCAAATTAGACGGAGTACATGTTGATTTTTTAAATTGGTTTGACTCGAATTTTCAGTTGAATTTGATCTTTTCGTTTTTGTTGAACACCCAACATATTATCATTGGATATATCTGAATCATGGAAAAGAAAAAGAAAAACATACCTGAATCCATCAAAATCATCAAAGGATAGACTTTTTCTCCAGTACCCTAATCTTCAGTAGTCTCGATGACGAGACTATGGGCCACCAAAGGCTGGGCCCCAGCCATTCCCGCTTGCCTGCCATAGTCCCTCTTCTGTATAAAGAGATTAACTTCATTGTCAAATCAAAACAGTCACATATGCACTAGCAATAGAATACTTCTTTTTCATGTAGTAACATTTTTGAGTTTTGATCTGCCACAAGATGTTAACTTGCCTTTGTACAAGTAGTAGAAGTTTTTATAAACATTAGACTTATATAGCATGTTCGGCCAAGCTTCTTTTACACCTAGAAGTATATTTTTTTTCAAAGTTAAAATGTCTGGCCAAACTTTTGGAAGAAAAAAAAAGTATTTTGAGAAGCAGAAGCAGAAAAAAATACTCCCTCCGTTTCATATTAAATGAGGTAGTTTGACTCGGCACGGAGTTTAAGAAAAAAGTAGAAGACTTTTAAAACTTGTGATCTTAAAAGCTTAAGGGGCAAAAAGTTTGTGGGGTCATGACATTTGTGTGGCTATAAAAGCTTCTCATTAAGGGTAAAAGGGTAAAATGAAAGAGTTTAAAGTTGAATTATTTCCAAATTTAGAAATATGTCATTTGTTTTGGAACAAACTAAAAAGGAAAGTACCTCATTTAATATGAAACGGAGGGAGAAGCTACTTCCCAAAAGTATTTTTTTGAAAAGCACTTTTGAGAAAAATACATTTTGAAGCACTTTTTAGAAGCTTGACCAAACACTAATTGCTTCTCAGAAGTATTTTTTAAATTAATTAACCAAACATAAATTGCTTCTCACCAAAAGTACTTTTGAGAAAAATATTTATGAGAAAAAACACTTCTCAAAATAAGCTTATTTTAGACGCTTGGCCAAACAAGCTATTACTTTGATTGCGAAAACAGTAAATTAGAGTTTTATCAATTAAATAAAAATTTAATTACTAATTAAGTTAATTTGAATCTTTAAAATTCGAAATGATGTATATACCATAGCAATTTTAGTGAGCAATGTTAAATATATTTAGAATAAAAGAGTGCATATACATATAAATATTATGCTTTAGGTGACAATAGAAACAATTGATATGAGGTGAGAAGCAAGTGCTTTCACGGCTGTTTGACAAGAGTTTATTGGACCATAGAATTGTGTCTGGGAGTAGTAACAAGTCTTTTTCTCTTCTAAATGGACATATATTATATTATTATATAACTAATTACATGTAAAAATAGTGGTAGAAATTAATGGAAGGTGTCCACAGCTCCTTCGAGCACCGTGCCTACCTTCCTGCCGGGCAATTTACAAATAATTCTAGCTTTAACCTTGGAAGAAAAGGCATCAACTAGCTAGCTGCTACTGTGGACACTACTAAATTGAGGAAAGAAATTTCTCCTGTTTGAATGAGTGGAGAGACTTGGATTCTCTTCCTCCAATTGGTACCAAGTAATACTTGAAAAAAGAGGGAAAAAGAGGCAATTGATCAAATGTGAAATGTGAATCGGAATGCTTTCACATAGAGTCTCGTGAGCTCATATTCTACATCAAATTATTGGGCACCTGTCAAACTCAGCAACAAAACTATCACTGTCAGCATGTGGAAACGCTCTGTTCCCGAAAGATAATCCAATCACTAGGGCCCCAAACAAACAAAATAAAATTGTGCCATTTGTGTCAACAGGACCTGTTGAAAATCTTATATGGGGCTGTTCTTTTTTAATGTTTTTTCCACATAGTGTTAACCAACCTCAGCAGACTTACAGCATTTAGTCAGTCGTTTTGTAGTTCAACAACCAAAGAAAAAAGCAGCCCATCCAGAGATGGGTTCCACACAAATATGAAACTTAAAGTTAGAAATGAAGAAAATATCATTGATAACAAAAGTAACAAAATTCAATCAAAGAGTAAAGTTCCACAGTCAACGAAGATGCCTACTGTTTAAGGTTTTTTAAGGTCCACCTAAAATGTTTCCCGCTTACAGAAAATTATCTGTGTTTCTTCTGTGGTTCAAACCTCTGAAGAGTTTTGACTCGAACACTTCGCTTTTCCATGTAACATTTGAACCATATTATCTACCAGAATGATGTCTGCAATGTCTTATTCGCTGATGAAGTCTCCTACAAGTCTGTAGATTTACATAGATATCCTAGATTCTGACATAGTGTAGGGTTGGGAACCGCACTTATTATAAGTTTGCCTCGATGAGCAGATCCTTTGAAAGAAGGGACAAACTATGATTCTTGCTAGTAAAAGTGCATACAGTTAACTAAGATAGGTACATGTCAAACCTTCCATTTCGTTTGCCCGCTTTACTTGAAGGGCGGCTCTTACAACATTTCCCCTTGTTATTATTCCCACCTTCATTAAACAACAGTTTATTGATTAAAAAATCACTGGCAAGAAAAGATGCGACCAAACAAAGCTTGAGGAGCTTACCAGCTTACCATCACCATCTACCACAGGAAGCCGACGATACTTCGTTTTCAGTAAAAGTCTGACAAAGAAATTCATTAAAATGTTTGCTTTTCATCCAATAAAAAGCAAGAAAAACATGTAACATGAACGGAAGGAACATAGTAATAAATAAATGACAGAACCTTGCTGCATCCTCAAGATTGGTAGATTCACGAACTACTAATGGAGCAGGTGTCATCAGATCACCAACCACTTTCCCTTTGGTCTTACCTAGCAACTTTTGGATCTCATTGAATGTCTGCAAATATTATTCAGAGTGAGACACAGCTTGATTAGCTTTGAGATGCTGTGTGATGCAGTTAACATGATACATAATCAAGTGCGCTTTCACTGTTCTTCGTCACAGCAAAAAGATGACAAGCTAACTCCAAGCGAGCCACCCCATTTATTAACACCATTGCAAGGACGCTGAAAGGTCTGAAAATTGTTTTTACGGGAGTGAACTGAAGGTAGTCTAGGGTAAAAGGTCTATCTTTTGGGGAAGCAGACCCAACTTTTGGACAACAGGAAACATGGAGCATCTAGTCAAAAAATATCATCTACTTTCATTTCATGTGACATTATTTTTTATTAGTCCGTTGGAGAAAGAATGACACCTCTCTATATTTGAAAACAATTTTAACTTTAAAATTTTCATTTACCCTAGATAACATATTTTTATAGCCACAAAAATGTCATGGAAGGTTTAAGACCACAAGTTTTCCTGAAACTCCATGCTGAATCAAACAGTAGTAAGAAGATGAACTCAGTACGACCATAGAAGCTAAGCAGACAGATCATTATGAGATTGGAAATAGGATAGATGCATTATTAGATACTACAGCAAAACCCAGAGGCAGTTCAGTAGGTTTCATCAGCCATTAATTACATCTTACAAATAACAGGCCTTTTTTTCTGAATTCAATGCCACAAACACCTAAACTGCACAAAGTTGACTTCATGTAATATGTTAGCAGTCGGGAGCATCCATATGCAAGATCAGTGTGCAACGATGAATTTGAAGTCCACATATTGAATTCTTGTGGTTGAAATAGGAATATTTAAGTCACTCATGTGAGGCAAACGTTTTAATGAAATGGCCAACTTCAGAAGTTGGTGATTGAAAACCCATCCAATGTTTCCTCCCCTGATCCTCCCACACACACACACCAAAAGGAGAAAAAGGAAAAGGTGAAAGAGAGAATATCCACCTTTCACTACAGAGAAATTCAATAGTCTTCTACGTAGAGATCACTAGCTTATCAAAATTTGTGAAGGGTTTCATGTCTAAAATAAAAATTATTATGGAATTAGCGCCGTCAATTATTTTTACAAAAGTATGTACTCCATAAACAGTACAAGGGCATTAAAATTTTCTTACTTTCCAATTGCTGTCTACTTCAGGAAACATGTCTGCATCAGCTGTTCCTGTACCTAAGAGAAGTATTTGGACAATTAACATCATATCAGTATTTTAGTAAATCAGTTTAATCGAATGGAGAAGGGGAATACAGAAAAAGTGGAGGACCAACAAACCAACCAGAAAAGAGAAGAAAAGATATAGAAGTTCCATTCTTCCATCTTTATCAAGAACACCAGCTTGTTAGCAGCTCAAATTCTAATTTCTTAATGATTACTCAACTAATGGGATAAACCATTCAATCTTGAACAATCCAAACTGGACTTAATATTGGGGGACTATGTTGTAGCTGTTAATTGTTAAGCCTATTCTATCATGCCCCACATCCACAGAATCAAGTTGTGGTGATGCCTGTAAATATCAATTACTCCTCTTGCATAAATAAATTAATGCTCCATATAAGAATTTTTCTAGGCAGCAAGAATGAATCTTTTCAGGAAATTCCATTTTTAGATAACCAAAATCTAAGGAAGTAGATGTTGAAAAGAAGAAAAAAACACAATTGCTCCTTTTATCATTCGACCACTGCCTGAGATTGGGGTCCTAAGCTGGTGCAGTAGTGACAAGTTTTCTTGCCATGGCTAATTAAAGAGGACAGAGCTAATAGTGCACAGTACACCAAGAGAGAACTAATTGTGCCTTTGGAAAGATTGCTTTCAAGGAAAGAATGATATCAAAGTGGAAAACAAAATACAGGATAAATGAAATATAAGATTAACATGTGGAAAGAGAAAAGACAGAGGAGATGGAAGGGGATTTGGATGGGAATGCACCATACCTTCACAAGGCGTAAAACAAACCACATATTCTTAATCCAAATAAACTTTCAGTACTGGATAATGTTATCCAAATAAGCCTCAGAGATGTTTTCAATAGGATTTCGGCTAGAGTTATAAAAGGTCCCAAAGCAGTTGAAGCACAATAAGAAATTAGGGAAATCTTAGTTTATTTTTCACCTTATAACCAGAAGGGCTTAATTTGAACAGACCAAGTTTTTACTAGAACTTTGGCTAGAGTTCATAAAGATCAAAAGTAACATAAGGAATTAGGATAACCATAACTTATTTTCAACTTATAACCATAAATTAAGGCTAACAACAATGATAACACATATTTAAACACACTCTGTTTACAACTAAGTGAGTAAAACCTAAAATATGATAACAACATATTTAAACACTGCAAGAAAAAAGATTTGGAATTTGCTCCTGTTTGATGGACATTCCAAGTCACAAATATTATGCCAAAATATTAGAGGTACAAGAAAGTTCACCACAAAGATAGGTGGGATCTAACTAGAGAGACATGTAATGGTACATATTCACAAAGGAAAAAAAGAAAGAGATGCACTATACTCATCTCAAACATAAAGCTTGCCTGGAGTATGAAGGCAAACAAATTATGGAAGAGTTTAGAATCCCAAAACATAAAATCTAAACATTGTCTGTAGACGGGTATAGTGGACTGTATTCCATTTCTCCATACGCCAGTCCACAGCAAACATACCAGTTACTTGCCAAACACGTTCAAGGTAACAACGAAAACGGTCCAGAAAACAATATTGGCCAAATACCGATAGAATTTGTTGTAATCTCCGCATAAAAATCATCATAGCATCACCATTTAAGAAAATTTACCTGATATAGAGTCAAGCGCCAATAGATCATAGTCAGAAACAAGACCAACCTGTACCAAGAAAGAGCTTCTGACTTTTGAGTGTTTTGATGACACAACAACAACAGCAACAAGTCAATAACAACAACCCAGTAAAATCCACAAGTGGGGTCGGGTGAGGGTAGAGTATACACAGACCTTACCCTACTGTTTCTGGGAGACCCTCTGCTCAAAAAGTGTTTTGATGAAACAAAATAATATTACTCTTAGCACATCTTTGAACTGAATATCCTGAATCAAATCTATAGAGAAGTGACCATACCTTTCGCATTATAGTACTGCAAGTACATATTGCATTATTCAGTTAATAAATTTCTCATAATTAAAAGTTTTGATGCATACTAGGTATCGGATAAAAGGATCATCCACTAAATATTTGATTTACCAAAAGTGGATGGAAAACATACAAGCTAGAGAAGAAATTCCTATTAGTATGCAGTCAAAATATTTTAAGTAATAAGCTGGCAAAACAAAAGAGCTTTTCTACACCTGTTGCCAGAAGACACTATAGCATTAGATTTACTTCACCATTGTTTTAAAAAAGATTCACGCTGTCATCTTATAAACTGAAGTAACAAGGGAGAAGAGGAATTAAACAAATATTAGTTGCCATAAGAATTTTTAGCATTAGCTTTTCCTTACGCTTTGTGGTTTGAGACATGATTCATTCACAAATATAAGCCAGAAAAGAAAACATGTGATTGCACATTAAGAGCCCGTTTGGGCATAAGAAAGTTTTCACTTTTTTTCGAAAAATTTTCACTTTTTTCGAAATCAGCGTTTGGTCATAAAATTTTCAATTTTCGCTTGAAAATGCATTTTGGAATTTTTCGAAAATTTGGAAAACTCCAAAAAGCTGTTTTTCAAAATTTTCACTCAGATCACTCACAAAACTTCAAAAACAACCCAAAATTATATTCATGTCCAAACACAACTCTAATTTTCAAATACCATTTTCACTTGAAATATTTTTTTCACTTTGTTTTTGGAATTTTACAATTCTTATGTCCAAACGCCCACTAAATCAGAAGAAGAAAATATCTCCCAAGTAAAGCTTTTGATGTACTAATTAATTTGGATGGTAGCTATAAGTCTATAAATATCCATTCACAAATATAAGCCAGAAAAGAAAACATGTGATTGCACATTAAATGAGAAGAAGATAACATCTCCCGAGTAAAGCTTTTGATGTACTAATTAATTTGGATGGTAGCTATAAGCTTATAACAGATCTATAGATTTTATGACTGAAAATATTTTAATGTAACATGTCAAGAAAAGCATGCATCAATGTGTGAGAGCTGAAGCACATGAATTACTCTCCAGCATGTTTATCATATTATTAACTAAGAGCTTGTTGATTAGAACATGATGCAAATTAAAATATATCCTAATGGTCATGCACAATCACATGCACAGCAACTACTATTCTAAAAGTACCAGAGTAGTAACTAGATGATCTATTTTTAACATTCGTGAAAATTTTTAGCAGTCTAATCAACAAAAGCTATGTCCACTGTCATAGTAATCTATATGGGTTTGATATGATAAATTATCTTCTGTGTTTAACAAACTTCAGTTTGCACAAGATAGACACTTAAAGAAGTTAAAGGTTCCTAATGCCCAGCTTTGATGATATTAATTCAACTGAAACTTAATGGCAAATTAGCTTTCAGGTATGAAGTTGTTCATAAGTGCTACATAAGCTGGGATAGAGTCATTGAATAAGGGGTATTTACACTCAATAAAGTGGGATCTACACTGGATATAGCAGCTAATATTGCAAATCAGAACTTACCAATTTCCAGTTGTCATCAATTACAGGGAAACCAGTGATTCTGTGTTCTACTAGAGCTTCCAAGGCTGTTGCAGAAACTATCATGTATCAGATATTGATTTCATGTACAACAAGTAAAGATGAAATTTGAGTACAAAAGTACCTTCATCTACTGATGTTGTGGGCTTTACCACATGTAACTCCTCTTTTCTAGTCATGAAATCACCGACTGTATAGACACCATTTCTAGGCTGCCACGAGTGGAAAAGCTTATGATTTGGTGGACATTCATGGGGAAAAGGAACTTCTTGATGCAACGGATAAATCATTCACAGTCAACTTTCGAAAACAAAGGACTCTCGGAGAGAAACAGATCCAAGACATTTAGCACCAAGTTTTGTTCAAGCAACAACTTGTGAGCAAGATATTCACATGAGGAGCCAATACATATTGATCTCTCTGTCCCAAAATTTCAATCCATGTCTGCTCCCAAGGGTCAAATAAATAAATCTTTGAATAAGACATCTAAACGTATTCTGGTCATTTTGAAATAAAATGCCTATTATAATGCTTTCAGTGCAGTTCCTAAATATCTAATTTTATTTTTCTAAATACCTATATCTCATTTTCAGTGAAAGTAATAGCAAAAAGTTACATGGTTCCTCCACATTCAGTTATGTTGCACATATTTGAACCATGCCAAATTGCAACCTTACCTTTTCTTCTCTACCTCAATCCATAGGTTGAGGCTACCTTCAAATTAATCTGGATAAAAATACTTACCAAGAAACTGTGACTACAAAATTGTACTAACCTTGGGAATATTCACTTTGGCCAAGAATTTTGTCACTTAACGTTAAAACCGCTTGAGTTCAATTGCTACATTTCACATGGAGCTCCTCTCTCAATCAAATGAGATTGAATGCAGTTTCCCTTTTGTCACAACGTTAAGACTTAAGAGCGAGGGTAAGGGAAATGCAAGCTCTGTTGAGGTTTTACTTTTTAAGTCAGTTTATCACTATTCAAACTTTTAAGGATCCCTTGAATGACATATAATAAATTATTGCCAACGGTTTTGACCTAGTTGATTTCTGTTTATTTTTATATTATGTATATTTCCGCCTTGGAATTAAATCGAATTTTTCCAAAAAGTCCATCTAATACAACGTTGAAGACTGAAGAAGAAGAAGAAGACTAACAGGCAAGTAGTATCATTTTAAAACGTAATCTAATTTATACCAAGCACCCTGCTTTAACTTACCACATGTAAATGAATAGCCAAACCTTTACAACATCAAGTAGAACTCTGTCTAAAATTTGAAGGTCAAACTGATTTTTATGCATTTTGACTTTATTAGCATAACTGAAAAAAAGAGTTAAGGATTGTCAATTTTTGATAGAGGAAGGACTACAGCTACTTGCCTTTTTTATTCACGCACTTTTTCAAAAAGCATGAATGCCTATTAACTAAATCCACCTATGCAGAAAGTAACTATGTAGCTTTTTTAAGCTGAGCTCCAATTGAGCTAAGCCATGGACTCCATTAATGGAGCAATGTAACAGTAGCGAGCAATTTAGAGATAGGAAGAGAGAGAAATGAAGAGGAAAATGTTTTCTCTATATTCAATCGTGTATCAATAACAAATACAACTTCTACTTTATATACACAAACTAACCTCTACTTAATTAAGCTAAGAACACTAACGGTTGGTAACTAACTCTAACAACCACAACTAACTATGACAGCTATCCAACTAACTTGACAGTTGGCTAAGCACTTAGCACTACACAGTCGGCTATTCTTCCACTCCCCCTCAAAAGCTAGAGGGTGTAAGATATTGAGCACTCCTAGCTTGCACAGTAGATATTCATGATGTACTCTCCCAAGCCCCTTAATCAACCGATCTACTTGCTGGTCCTTAGTTCTAATGTGATGTGCCTTGATCTTCGCTTCTTTTGACAAAATGAAGGTCTATCTCTATGTGTTTGGTCCTTTCATGAAATATGGGATTAGCTGCAATTAGCAATGCAGCTTTGCTATCACACATTAAACCCACTGGTTGCTTCATAGGTACATTGAGCTCTGTGAACAATCCCAGCAACCATACAATTTTTGCAGTTGCTGCTGCTAAGCTTCTGTATTCTGCTTCTGCTAAACTTCTTGAAACTGTCTGTTTTTTCTTTAATTTCCAAGACACCAATGAGTCTCCAAACTTCACCACAAACCCAGTCATTGACCTTCTAGTGTCAGGACATGATTCGCAGTCTGCATCACAGTAACAAACCAGACTATATGCATGCTTGCTACTTATCAGAATCCCCATTCCTGGATTCTGTTTGATGTATTTCACCACTCTTATTGTTGCTTCCCAGTGAGACTGCTTACATGGTTGCATGAACTGGCTCAATGTTTGCACCGCAAATATGATGTCTAGCCTAGTGATTGTTAGATATATTAACCTACCAATCAACCTCTGATAAGCTGAAATGTCTATCAGCATTTCATATCTGGATACTCCAACATGTTTATCAAATTCTACTTAGATGAACATCTGATTCATGTCGATTAGGGTGGCAGTTGGCTTTGTTGTTCCCAAACCTAAATCAGACACCAGTTCAAGCGCATACTTCCTTTCGTTTAACAAGATCCCTTGGTTGGATCTCATTACTTCTATCCTAAGGAAATACCTCAATTCTCCAAGATCCTTCACTTTGAACTTTCTGTTCATAACATTCTTTGTCTCCTGAATAAGTTCTTCATTGTTTCCTGTGATAAGCACGTCATCAACATACACCAACACAGCTACAAACTTTGTTCCTTTCTTCTTTGTAAAAAATAAGTAATCGTACAGACGTTGAGCCCGTTTGGATTGACTTATTTTAAGTGACTTTTAAGCCAAAATAGCTTTTAAGCCATAAGTTAGGAATTCTCGCTTTTGGTTTTTGACTTGTTTTTGGCATTTTAGCTTAAAAACAAGTGCTCAAAGGCACTTTTTTACTTTTTCCAAACACTTCAAAATGACTTAAAAACTATTTTGGCTTAAAAGCACTTAAAATAAGCTGATCCAAACGGGCTCTTTGAACATAGCCTGCATCTAGAAGTGCTTCAATAAGCTTAATGTTCCATTGTCTTGAAGCCTGCTTCAAACCATACAAGGACTTCACCAACTTGCATACTTGTGTCTCCCCTGCCTTCTGGAGCCCTGAGGTAGTTCCATATATACTTCCTCATATAAGTCCCCTTGGAGAAATGCATTATAGATATCTATTTGATACATGTTCCATCCTTTTGAGGCTGCCACTGCAATGACTGCTCTCAAATCGGTGAGAATGTCTCATGATAATCTGGACCTTCTTTTGACCGTACCCCTTGGCCACTAACCTAGCTTTGAATCTCTCAGCTTCTCCATTGACCTTGAACTTTATCTTGTACACCCATTTTGAGCCAATGGTGTTTTTTCCTTTAGGTAAGTCTACTATCTCTCATGTGTTGTTGTCTTCTAAGGCCTTAATCTCCAACTGCATTGCTTCCACCCATCTCTTTTCTTTGGATGCTTTGGCAAAACTCTGTGGTTCTGTCAGTGAAGAAATCTTTGCCACAAAGCTCTGGCATGATGCTGACAGCCTACTATATGTTAAATGATCTGATGAAGGATATAGTGTTATTTCGGGAGCCTTCTTTTGTGTGACATAATCCTTAAACTATAAAGGCTCCTTGACACTTATGCTAGATCTTCTTGGTTCCTCATTTGTGAGGACATGTCCTATTTCTGGAGATGTATCTGCATCTTGTGGCAGGCTATGTTGCTCGAACTCTCCAAAAATGTGGCCGGATACGTGTCGGATCTTCCAAAAGTAGTGCATTTTGAAGGATCCGACAAGGGTGCGGCTACATTTTGGAGAGTCCGCGCAACATAGGTGGCAGGTTCACTGCTTCATAGTCTTCCTCACTTTCAATATTATGTAAGTCTGTTGTCAAGTCTGTCTCTTCTTCTATATGTCCATTTTCTGCATGCCCATTCTCCACTTCTTCAGCGGGTCTATTATTCACACCAGGAGCTGGATCCATTATTGGTGAGGTCACAGCTTCAGGTGAATAAGAAGTAGATGCAGGTGCAGTGTCTTCGCTGTTTTCTTGTAGAGAGTCATGATTAGCTGGAACTAGTGGATATGGTTCATGATTAGCCTGCATACTCCCCCTATCATGGATCACAGAATGTCTCCATGAAGAAGGTTGAACAAAAGGAAATAAATGCTCCTTAAACACAATATTCCAGCAAACAAAAAATTGGTTAGTGGAGAGATCCAATAGCTTGTAACCTTTCTGAGTTTCTGAATACCCAAGGTGAACTGCTGGCCTTGCTCTTGCTGGGAACTTGTTCCTACGTACCAAAGCAGTAGCACATAGGCAACCAAACACTCTTAATGGTTAAGGGAAGGCTGTTTATGATATTACAACAAATATGGTGTTTTCCCATTCAAAATGACAGTAGGAAGCCTATTAATAAGGTACACAGCAGTGATTATGCATTCTCCCCGGTACCTAGTTGGCACATTTGCTTGAAATTTCAGTGCCCTTGCCGTATCTATGATGTGACTTTGTTTCCTCTCTACCACCCCATTGTGCTGGGGTGTGTATGCACAACTACTTTGATATACTATGCCATGTGATCAAACAAGCTATTGCATTGTTTATTAAAAAATTCTCCTCCATTGTTTGTTCTAATGGTCTTAACAACTGCACTAAACTGTATTACGAGCATGGAAAGAAACTTCTGCAATACTACTATAACATCACTCTTTAACTGCAGTAAATGAACCCAGGTATATCTTGAATGATCATCCACAATAGTCAAGAAAAATGCTTCCTATCATGTGTAGGGATTTGTAAGGTCCCCAAATATCCATATGTAATAGTAGCAAAGGACCGACGCTTATAGAACAACTCCTAGGAAAAACCAACCTACTTTGCTTAGCCAAAGGACAACCTGAACAGTCATTATTTACCGTGAAATCTAATGTGCATGCTGAAAACACTTTATATGCTTCATTGTGCTAACTGAGGCATGTCTTAATCTGTGATGCCAAAGATGTCCATCAATTTCTGGCTTTTGAGTGGTTACTGCTGATATCCGCTTCAATACTCTTGCTATGTGCTCATCCTTCACCACGTACGGGCCTCTTTTTTCCTTACCAATCCCCTTACCCTGCCACTCCAAAGGTCCTGAAATACATAGAAATCATGATAAAAATGGACAGAGCAGCAGAGTTCCTTTGTGAGTTTGGATACTGACAGCAATTTAAAACTGAAGTCGGGGACAAACAACACATTTTTCACTTCCAAATCCTTAAGAAGAGCTGCATTACCAATATGTGTGATGTCAGTTCTCTCACCAATAGGCAATTGTACATGCTCTCTCTGTTCATCTTTCAACTTAGTTTTAGAGTGCAATAAATCTAATGAGGCAGCTATGTGATGAGTTGCACCGGAGTCAACTATCCACTCACTATTAGAGCAATTAGCCATTAATAAAGTGGTAATACCTGTCATGTTCACTCGAGGTATAGAGGAATCCTTGTTCAGCATATTCAGAACTTGTCAGCATTGACCTTCAATGAAGAAGTGCCCCGCTACCTGGTCACAACTTGTTCCTTTTTCTCCCCTCATCTATGTCTGTTGCTCATGCTCAAGAACACCAGTAACACTGTTAGCCACAACTTGCCTCTTTGCCTTAAAATCCCCTGGATACCGTATTAGTTTATAGCAATTTTCCTTCAAATGCCCATTCTTATGACAATAATCACGTCTCATGAAAGGTTTTTTTTTCCTTCATAGAGTTGCCCTCGGCCAGTTTGCATGGCAATTGGCTCTCCTCTACCAGTTATTCCTCGAACAACTTGCATAGTAGTTGTTTCTCCTTTAACAGCCAATGTTGGATATGGACTTGACCTTTCACTTTCATCTTCAATAATCAAGGCATAGGCCTGATTTAGAGTTGGTTCTGTCGTTTTCATTAGAATTTGTCTCCTTGCCTTGATCATAGGATTCATTGAGGCCACTCAGAAATTGAAGCAACCTGTGTTGATGAAGATGCACAATATAATCATTCGACTTCACACAATCACAGGAAACAACCTTTTTGCCTTTCAAAGGCAGGGGTAAAGTCTGCGTACACTCTACCCTCCCCAGACCCCACTTGTGAGATTACACTGGGTATGTTGTTGTTGACTTCACACGGTCACATCCAGGTGAAGGAACCAACGCATCATACTCTGACCACAGCTCTTTCAGCTTTGTAAAATAAGTGTCCACAAAATCTGTTCCCTATGAGATTGTTGCAATCTCTCTATGCAATTGGAAGAACCTTACACGATTAACCTTACCAAACCTCTCCTTTACCCCCTTCCAAACTAGATGAGCATCAGATGCATATAGGTGATTCCACTAACTAGGTTATGCGATACAGTAGTCATGATCCAGGAGAGGACAAGTGCATTGCATGTCTCCCTTCTTAAAGTAATCCTTTTTACAAGTACCAGTCACAAACCCTAATTTTTGCTTAGCTAGAAGTGCAATTCGCATTGTTATCTGCACAATCCATAGTTTTCAGATCCTGTGAGTTCAATCAGAATCAAAACTGAGCTCAGCGTGTCACAAGGATGAAGAAACAACGGATGAGTATGATCGATCTTATCATCTCCCATTGTTGAGCTTGGTATGGAAAAGAATTACTGAAATTGACGATCAATTGCTCAGCTCGTGTACTACCAGCACGACTGCTCTGATACCATGTGAGCTGAGCTCCAATTGAGCTAAGCCATGGACTCCATTAATGGAGCAATGTAACAGTAGCGAACAGTTTAGAGATAGGAAGAGAGAGAAATAAGAGTAAAATGTTTGTTGTATATTCAATCGTGTATCAATAACAAATACAACTTCTATATTTATAGACACAAACTAACCTCTACTTAATTGAGCTAAAACACTAACTATTGGTAACTAACTCTAACGACCACAACTAGCTGTGACAGCTGTCCAACTAACTTGACAGCTGGCTAAGCACTTCGCACTACATAGTCGACTATTCTCATAGCTTTAAGCTTTCACATATAGAATAACTTTTAAAGTAACTATTTAATACTAATGATTGATCGACTTCATGTTCATGTCTCAGTTTTAATTAATAAATCACAATTTTTAATTTAAATTATAGTATAATCATAACTAGCACATAATTTAAGAATCATTTTATCACTTTACAATGAGTTCGGCCTTAAGTGCTTAAGAAGTTTATCAAATACTCTAAAATCTTTATCCTTCTAGAAACTTCAGATCCTATAATTCGTATGTGCCGTTGAAGATATGCCAAATTACGGTGTAAGTACATTAAAAGAGAACAGAGTCGCAAAAATTAAGTTAAGCTAACCTAAGCTACGAGTTCAATCAGGATTGTAGAATTGGATAAGGAAGCAAACCGGTACAGAATTGGCCGTCAAAGTGTTGGCTGCAGCAAGGCGAAAGGTCTCGCGAGAGTCCGAAAGGCGTACCGGTAGGAAACATTTAGAGGATGCAGCAAGTTTGTGGCTAGGCAGAGATAACAGGCAAGGCAGCTGGTGGTGGAATGCGGCGGATGCGCGGTGGAGACAGAGTCCGAACGGTGATATAGACGTCATCGAAGGGAGAAGAATATGACAACGAACAGAGAGAAGAGCGGAAAGTGAAGATGTAGCAGTCGACGGAAATTGCGAAGCCAGTACTCAGTAATTGCAGAAGCGTATGGCTTCGTCAGTCGTCAGTTAGTTATTTTTTGATACTCTCGAGGCATCTAAACTTGAAGAATTTTATTTTATTCTGTGGGAGACATATTTTTATGTTACATATTTGTGGATCCATATGTTATATATGTGGGTAAGGGTGTTAAACGGGCCGGGCAGCCCGGTTCCGGACCGGCCCAGACCGGTAGAACCCGGAACCGGCCCGGACCGGTAAGGGGGCTGGGCTGGGCTGGGCTGGGTAGGGGGTTGGGGTGGGTTTGGACGGTTTAAATTTTTGAAACGGGTTACTCGGCCCGGTAAAACCTGTTAGATGAACAGTGCCGTTAAACCGGTTAACCGGCCCGGCCCGGCCCGGAACGTGAATATAACATGAATATACTGTGAATATACCATGAATATACTATTAATATACCATGGATATACCATGAATATACCAATTATTGTATACTAATTAACATAATTTAAATTTGTTGGAATTTATCATATAGTGTATATATTTGGGGTATAAAACTATAAATGCTCAAATCATAGAATATGATGGTAACGTATTATTTTTAAAATATGCTATATATGTGTTATTTTAAGATTTTAAGACAATTTGTTATTTTAAATTATTAGACGTATTTATGCTTAATGATTTCGTTTGTTAGATTAATTTGAAGTATTATTAATTTATTATGCATGAAAATTTAGTTTACTATTTATTTGTTAATTTACTTTTTAAATGCAAACTTTAATTTTGTAATTTTGAAATAAATATAGCACTTGTAATTTATAAGTGCAATTTTTTCCCATCTTCCTTGTATTCTTTATGTTAGTACTTTGTATTAATACTATAACTTACAATATTTATACAAAATCCAAAAAAAAAAATTAAAATTATACTAAACCCGGCCCGGCCCGGCCCCCTCAACCCGTAACCCTTATGGTTCAATTTTTACCCGGATGAACCCGAACCCGTTAAGACCCAACCCGTAACCGGCCTGGACCGTAACCCGTACGGGTCCAAAAATATAGGCCCGGCCCGGCCCGGCCCACCCGTTAAACACCTTTATATGTGGGTCTATAAAATTTCAGGACCCACACAGTGTGAGAAAAGAAAAAGGCCTCACACAACTAGTGTCACTTGCGTGAGGCACAAAATAAATTTTTTCAAACTTGAACATTGGAATTGGTGCTCTCACATAAAGATATTTTCGTTCTACTCCCTGGAGTTTGTTTTATTTACCAGACAGGCACATACTGTTGAAATGTGATTTTCTCAACTTGTTATTCAGACCTGATTTAAGTTATAACGTACTAAAAGTATAAATATATTTGTATATTAATAGTAAATTTTAATATAAACAAAAGATTATTTATTAATTTACTTACAATTATTTAATAAATTTCTACATCCATTCATTTTACTTGTTCACAATAGATTTTACACTCTCCTTAAGAAAAAATAATTGAATAGTAGATTTTACCATAATATCAATAATAAATGATAGCATTTTAAAAAGTCTTGGCAATGCTTTGGGAATTAACATTTAATGATAAGGATAAAACTGAAAAGATTGTCTTGTCTCTTGATTTGTTAAAAATGAAGATGAACAAGTAAAGATAAAAATATATTTTTAGTACCAGTGGATTAAAAGTGAAAAGGATAGTAACTCAATTGTGTAATAGATTTTCACATCATTAACGTACAGAACTAAAACTCATAGTAATACAATTGATATACCTTAACGAAAGTGGCCCCCAGTAACGTTAACTGCTTATGGACTACTTAAATTTACATTTTTGTGTTGGTATGAATAATTATGTTTTCCATGAAAAAATTTCTTTCGTGGAATATTTTAGTGTGATATATCTATCTATCTATACTATATTAAAAGCACGGAGGCCTTTAGCGAAATATCGTTTGCCTTTTTTACCTCTTTAAAATATAGTTCACATTGGACAAAATAGTCATTTGATTATTTTTCTATATTTAGGAATAGTCATTTAATTAATTTCCTACTATTTAGGAACAATCATTTAATTATTAATCTAATACTTAAAACTTTTATTTTTCAGTTTCTTTTAGATCTAAAATTTCAAACACTTTCAACTAAAACTTGAAAAGTTTTTGTTATTCAACTTAAACTAAAAGTTTCGTCTTTCTACTAACTTAGGAAAATATTATTCACTTTCAAAGGAAAACATCATAGGAAATCTTTTAGTTATAATTTTTTTGACAGATTAATTCTACAAAAAATGTTAGGTAAAAACGTGCAATTTGATTTTCTTTTTGGTTTAGGAGTCTTTATTTTCTAATAAATCATTAAATTATCCATAATTTTATTTTGTATAAATCCTTTCATGTTTCAAATTATGTACCAAAATTTCTATAAAAGAGCTACAATTCTACGTTTTCATCATGAAAACTTTGCCTTGTTCGAGCAGCAACTATAAATTAAGAACTTTCAGGTTCTTCTTTGAGCAATATTTTTATAGTAGTTGAATTTTACATTCACGCGTTTATATTAGTAGTTAAATTTTGCATTCACATATTTATATTAATAATTAAATTTTGCATTCACGTATTCAACAAGTACATTTTTATTTATGTATTCTTAATTGTGAACCTTGAATGAACATGAGCTTGTTTGGCCAAAATCTCAATTTGTTTTAGTTGTTTTATAATTTTTAGAATAACTCTTATGTATCAAGGAAATAGAATAATTCACATTTTGCTTGCGAGAAAGAAAAAAAGATCTTTTGTTAGTTAGATGATCCTTTGTATGTTTTCTAGAATGAACTTAAGAATATATATTTCTTTAAAGATTTCAAAAAAAAAAAAAACTCCAAAATCTTCGAGAGTTTATGTGCTCTTGATGAAAATAAAAAGAAATACGATTGTGAAATTAAAGTAATGAATAAACCTTAAGTTAAAATTATTGACTAAGATGATTGAGGACTTCTATTATCACCGTTTCTTCTATTTATTGAGTTTGCTAAATATAATCAATAATTATCATTTTTAGTAACTCACACTTTTTCTTAAACTTATTTGTAACTCAACGTAATAGTTAACATAGTATTATGTAGNCTTTTTTCTTAAACTTATTTTGTAACTCAAACGTAATTAGTTAACATAGTATTTATGTGATTTTAAAAATATATACTTATTGAGACGGATACACGCGCAACGCGCGTATCGTATAACTAGTATTTTCAAAGGGCTTCTGTCACTTATTTGTAAAAGTTATTTTCCTTTATTAATGTCTCAACTCTTAAGTTATTTCATTTTCTTTAATCAACATTTAGACTTTGTTATTGATCTTTATACTTAACTTAAGGTATTACTAGAAGTCTAGAACACTTTTTTTTGTGCTAAGTTATATTATCCCACTTACTTTTATACTTAATAAAAAATTAGAACGGTCCAAAAAATAAATTTTCAACATAATATATTGTCTAGGCAGAATAGTTTCATGAACATAATTTTTCACGTAAAACATTAATGAAATTCATGTACAGTTTATTTCTTTTCTTTATTGTCATAATAATCGTGCGTAGACATCATTTTCTTTTGCCCTTGCTAGTTTCAGTATCTACATTCTACAAGCATGATTTGACAATTGAAAAGCTATACTATAGCAAAAACCTATTTACCATATTTATTTAGGTTTCTTATTAATTACTTTGTATAGCTATATTTACAAGTTATATACAAAACTATTTAAAAGAAAAAATTCAAGATCCCTTAATTTTAACTTGTCAGTTACAACCCATTTTCAATAACTCCCCCTACATTTAAAATTATGTTCTTTTTTTCTCTCTTTCTTAATAATCACCGAAAATCTCTCTTTTATTTTCATATCCCCCCCCCCCCCCCTTGCATTTTCAATTCTTTTTCTTTCCAAAGGTTTTCAAACTTAATTTCTCTCTTTTTTACTAATCACCCAAAATCTCTATTTCTTATTAATACAATGTAGACGAAATTTTGAAATATTGCTATGGAATCAAGTTCTTGGTATGTTTTGAATCTTGTTTTCTTTTTTCCTAATTTTTTTTATTGTATGTGACTTGTATATGATCCATCAATACCCAAAAGAATACTCGATATAATACTAATACAATTTTAATACGATTATATTAGATTTTTAGTGTAGAGTTGTGATTGAAACTTGAAGAAGATGAAGATCATAATTGTATCACAAATTTTAAAAATTAATGTATCGATAATGGGATATGTATCATAATGGTTGCAGGAATTGTCTTACAAATGTATAATAATTGTATATCCATTGTATATTGTTACGAGCAGTTGTGAGTTCGTGACGAATTTCACAGTTTGTATCACAAGTATGATAATTGTATATTAATTTATTAGTATTGTATCAGGTATTATTGNAAACTATTAAAAGAAAAATTCAAGATCCTTACTTTAGCTTGTCAGGTACAACCCATTTCCAATAACTCCCCTAGATTATGTTCCTTTTTCTCTCTTTCTTAATAATCACCGAAAATCTCTCTTTATTTTGTCCCCCCCCGGCATTTCCAATTCTTTTTCTTTTCCAAAGGTTTTCAAACTTAATTTCTCTCTTTTTTACTAATCACCCAAAATCTCTATTTCTTATTGATACAATGCAGACGAAATTTGAAATATTACTATGGAATCAAGTTCTGGGTAAGTTTTGAATCTTGTTTTCTTTTTTCCTAAAATTTTTATTGTAGACTTGTATATGATACATCAATACCCAAAACAATACTCGATACAATACTAATATAATTTTAATACGAGTATATTAAATTTTTAGTGTAGAGTTGTGATTGAAACTTGAATAAGATGAAGATCATAATTGTACCACAAATTTTAAGAATTAATATATCGCGATTGTATTATAATTGTATATATATCATAATTGTTGCAGGAATTGTATTACTAATATATGATAATTGTATATTCATTGTATATTGTTACGAGCAGTTGTGAGTTCATGAAGAATTTCACAGTTTGTATCACAAGTACGATAATTGTATATTAATTTATTAGTATTGTATCATGTATTATTTTAGGTATTAATGTACCAGATACAAGTTAG